TCACGTAATGCAATTAAGGCAGTTTAAGCAAATAGGCAATTAAGTCAACTAAACAAACTTTTCTAAACTAGCAACATGCTAAATTCACAAGTAGAATAAAAAAGGAAAAAAGGAACTCAATTGAAATACTTAAGGAAAAACCAAATTTTCAACAATTAGCTCAAGTACGCACTCGACACCTCACGTACAAGGCATTTCAATTATCAAATATATCATATCCTAAGGGGAAGGTCCCCCACACAAGGTTAGACAAGCGACTTACCTCGAACCGACTCAAAGTCAACCTGAAACCACGCTTTTGGCACGAGTACTCGACTCCAAATGGCCCAAATCTATTCAATTCAATTGCATGATGTAAATAACACTTCAAGTACTAATTTTACAATTAAAGTCTAAGCTAATACGCGAAATTATGTAAAATGACCAAAACGCCCTCGGTCCCACATCTCGGAATCGGGTGAAATTTATATTTTCGAAAACCTCGTACTCTCACGAGTCTATAAATAACAAGAACACTGAAATCGGAGTCTAAATGATCCATCAAATCCTCATTTAAAGGCCTCTTAAACTCAAGCCCAAATTACCTATTTTCCCAAATTTCTCACCACTAATTAGGTCTTTAATCACATAAAAATGAGTTATGAAGTCAAGGATGTTACCTCCAAGCGATTCCCCTTTGTTTTCCTCAAAAATCTTTCTCAAAAGCTTCAAATCCGGAAGAAAATGGTGAAAGAGTAGCTCAAATTCGCGAAGGCAACTATTTATATGTTCTACCCAGCGATTTCCGCATTTGCGACCCTGGGACCGCATCTACGGTCCCGTTTCTGCGGAAACTTCGTCGCATCTGCGACTTTCATTTAAATACCAGAAACCGCATCTGCGATTACATTTTCGCAGATGCGACACCGCTTCTGCGGTGTCCCTTCCGCATCTGCGGAACCTGAAGGAAAGGCCAAAATTCGAGCGGCGCCGCTTCTGCGGTCCCCAAACCGCAGATGCGAAAATACCAGGAGCAGCAAAAATACAGCAGCTGCAACATTTTCTAAATTTTCTCTTAACCATCCAAAATCACCCCGAGACCCCCGGGACCTCAACCAAAGGCATCAACATATCCTAAAACCTTATTCAAACTTATACCAATCTTCAAACAACATCAAAACAACCAAAACACATCGGATTCAAGCCTAAGTTTCTAAAATCTTCCGAATTCCACTTTTGATCAAAAACCCAACCAAACCACGTCCGAATGACCTGAAATTTTGCACACACATCCCAAATGACACAACGGAACTACAACAACTCTCGAAATTCCATTCCGACCCTCAGATAAAAATCTCGCTATCGAACCGGAAACTTCAAAAATTCAACCTTCGGCATTTCAAGCCTAAATTAGCTACGGCCCTCCAAAACACAATCTGAATACGCTCCTAACCCCAAAATCACCCAGCGGAGCTAACGGAACCATCGGATTTCCATTCCGAGGCCGTCTTTACACTGTTTCGACTACGGTCAACTTTCCAACACTTAAGCTCTCATTTAGGGATTAGGTGTCCCAAAACTCTCCGAAACTTAAAACCGAACATCCCGACAAATCAAAATAGCATAAATAAACTCGGGGAAAGCAGTTAATAGGGGAACGGGGCGTTAATTCTTAAGACAACCGGTCGGGTGATCACAATTACCATAATTCCAAAATTTTAATATACACCTGATAGTTAACAAAATAAACAGAAAAAAGGCAGCAAATAAAAGTTTTACCTTTAAAAAATCTAAAAAGTCTTTTGTTGGCGAGTCACGTATAGGAGGTTAGAGTATGTAACTTTATAACTTCATTATTTATGTGGAGAGTCGGCATAGAGGGACATAAGTTTGACATCCTCAAATTCTAATAACATGAAATTCGTATATATCAGCAACTCATCTTTTATATATATATATATATAGAGAGTTAACTGAAACAATAACCTTGCAATAATGGTAGCTCATTTAAATCTGGTAGAAGATGATTTGAGTGGACATTTGAAGTTGACAAATCATATGGCAAATCTTGTTCTTGCAGTGAAATTGGATATTGCGCATGAGACTGGGATGATGAAATGTAGCTATAACTCTTTATGGGTTTACTACGTAATTGACTGAAATGTTGAAAATTTGTTATATCTGTTAATGGTTGTTTTGTTTTCCTTTTGAAAAAGCATTCCATCTGACAGCAGCAGGATCAACAAAATATGAAACTATTAAAAAAAATCATCAAACTATTAAAAGTGGTAAAAGTTAGGGAAACTATCAAAGCAATAAGGGATGTGATGCGAGTAAGTGTTCTCTTTTTATAAATGTACTCCTATGTTGATAGTGCAAAGTGTGTAAAAAGCGGGAAAGAAGGAAGGTTATAATGCATTGACTATCAACATTAGTTCCTGAGTTTATTAAATGAATTTAAGAACAATAAAATTAGTTACTACAAACTACTCTATATAATATGAATAAACTAATCAGAGCGATATAAAAGCCAATAACCATACTCAAAGGTGAGTATAAAATAATTGAAGGTCTGAGATGAATTGTTATTTATCTGTGCTTGCAACTTATGAAAGACAGTATAAAAGCGACTAATTAAGATGACTTACCTATACAACTAATTATCAAAAGAATTTTAGTTTAGAAATGTTAGGTATTTTTAATCATCTTTGTTGATTAAAAAGGTTTTTCATCATATTGATTTAGAGTAAGGTATTTCTTTTATTTTATTCATAAATTACTTTTGTTAAGATCTATGACATATTGATGCTATATTATTTAACATTCTTGCATGTAATATAGATCATTTAGATAAATAATATGCAAGAGCTTTGAATGTACGCAAAGGAAGTAATGTCATCCAAATCACATATTAATAAATGACAGAGGTACATAAGATATTTTTTGATAAGGCAGACGTATATAAGCTATTAAAGGTCTTTTTCTTTCCAAAAATTTTAAGCTTAATACGTATAAGTATATAACTTTATAACCTTATTATCTATATAGAGAGCCTGTACAACGGAGAAAAGTTTGACATTCTCAAATTCTAATAATAAGTTATTACAATATGCAATCAGTATTTATGAACTACATGTTATAGAAATAAAATTAAGTCAAATAATACCTTGCGATAATGGTAGCTCTTTTAAATCCGGTAGAAGAAGATTTGTATGCACATTTGAAGTGGACAAATCAAATCGCAGATCTTGTTGTTATGTAGAATTCGGATACTGTGCCTGAGACTGAGACGATGAAATGTGTGCACAAATCTTTATGGGTGTACTACATAACCGAGTGGAATTTTGTCGATTTATTATGTCAGTTAATGGTTGTTTCACTTTCCCTTTTTCAAAAGCATTCCCTCTGATAGTAGTAGAATCAACAAAGTCTGTAAACCATAAAACAAAATTAGCCCACTGTCAGAAGTCTTCCAGGAAACTATTGAACCGATGACGAATGTCGTGCCATGACATGTTTTACTTATAAATTTATTCCTATGTTCTCAGACCAAAGTGAGTTTAAAGTGTAAAAAAAAGGTTATACTTCGTTGACCCTATTTAAAATCAAGGAATTTAGGAATACTTTAAAATAGTTCCAACAGAGTAATCTATACAGCAAAATCAACTAATCTAAGGAATGTTTAAAGCCAACAACCATCCATAAAGGCAAAAATATGAGTAATGAATAGTTGATCTATTTTGTGGTTTTTCTCTAATTGCAACTGACTAAAGCATGTATAAACGCGGTGAATAAATATGATAGGCCTATATAACTATTGTCAAAAGAACTAAAAAATGCTTTTAGATTCAATAACCGCACAAGAAATATGGGATGGTCAAACAGAACAGAGATGATAACAAATTATATAGAGTGCATAAAGTAAATAATTTTCTCTTCATCATTAGAATGGACACAAATAATATGCTACAACTTTGAATAGTTAAAGAAGCTTAAAGACTTGATCAATAGTTTATGGCATAATAAGGGGGGGGGGGACCAATCAAGCCAGAAGAAGGAAAATCTAATTTACGGCAAAGAAAAGAAAAGAGTACAATTGTACTGTAACAAACGGACTGCATACCATACATATTTGTCTGTTTTTCATATGTCACGATCAGTTTTTAGTGTTAGTAACTTTGAGCAGTATTATATAATTTTATATTAAAAATCTGTAAATATTGATGATAACAGTTCATACCTTTGTTGTTTGAGGAATATTTAGGCCGTTTCTGGTTCCGTATGCATATTCTATTTTTTCTTGCGAGTTCCCTCTGTTTTTCCATGTCAAAGTGCCGTAGAAACAAAATGTGGTTTGAGAAGTTGTAGAGTCTTTTGGAAAAGCAAAGTAAAATTTGGCGGGCTACTTGCCAGCCCTCAGTGTGATGAATCTGATGCACAACAAACTTTATTTTCTGGTGATCTCATCTGATTCAATTTGAACGAATTCTGAAGCAACTACAACAGGCTTGAGAACAACACTATTTCCTAAGAGAAAGTACTGAAAAACCTAAAAGCATGAGATTCTTGGATACATATCACAAAAATTTACAGCCGTTGAGATTGGCAATTGATCAAAATTTTTGGTGAGAAACTGAATTTGGTGTGAGAAGTTGTAGAGTCTTTTGGAGAAGAGAGAGTAGTTGATAATATGCTGCGCCTATTTTTGCATTAGATTGGGGTTTTTGTATTTTAAGTCCTCTTGTTTTGAAGTAATATTTTTATTTTAGTATAACTTTCACGGATAATTTCCACTCATTTTAAGATGAGATTAGAAAAAAATGAGGTTAATTTTAACTCTTTGGTAACACGGTGCAGGCTCTGCAACATGTTGGCATATATTTTGGCCTTTATATACGTAACTTGTCTCTTTCTTTTAACTTTTTAATATTTCTATAAAATAATTATTACTGTTAAAAATCTAAGTGCAGTTTATTTTTCCTTTAATTTTTCAAAAGCAACATGTCAAAAACACTAAGGAAGATAAGTTCAACAGACACACAAATGGAACATATTCCTACAAAAGAACTTCCTTTTTCATAACATTTATTAGTTCAGTTTGATTATTTGATTTATTTAAATCTGAAGTTGAATAATATTGGGTCATACTTATGAACAAAGATTAGAACTTTGTAGCTAACACTTCTGGTTTAGTACTTTTAATTTTGATTAAGGTTTTTGGTATCAACTTCCTAATTAACTACCTGCTATTTCTTCTAGCGTGTGCCTATATTGTGTCTTCAGTTTCTTCTCCTCTTTGAATTGGGGTTGGTTTAATATCTTATTTTCTCTCTTTTGTTTACAACGAGTAAACAAAAGTTCAAATGTTGGAACATAATTTGTCATAAAGTTATGCTTGTTTATTATAATTTCACATGTTATTAATACTCCTTGTAATAGAAGACTTTTGTATTACTGCTATTTTACTTAAACTATGAGCTTGAAGGATGCTTTGATCTGATACTCCAACTATCAATACATATTCATAGACATATAGAGTCACCAGTTATAATATATGTTGCTCTTTGGTGTTAGAAATTTCTCTGTGATATGACTGTTTTTCTAGGTATTTAAGTTTGGCAGCATTAATGGACCAGGGGAAGTTTCTCTTAGCAACCCGGAGGTACAGAAATGGTGCTCGCATTAAATATATAGTATCTCTTGATGCAGACGATTTGTCTCAGAGAAGCAAGGCATATGTTGGGAAGTTAAGGTAAAATGATCTACTCATTTCAACGTGGGAAAGTATCATTTATAAGTGATGATGACTAACTAAAAAAACTATATGACTATAATGGCATGTCGAAACGGCGATGCGCTTGTGCCGTTGGAAAGAGGAGTTACGGAACTACAATATTTAGAGGAAAATAGGTCCAGATTGTTTGTTGATTTATACAGATATCCTTTTGAAATCAGTTATGAAATTCTGATTTTTTTGTTTTTTTACATCTTTGCGTCTCCTGAATAAAAAAAATCATATCTCTATGCAGAAACGCCCAAAGCACGATCCGCTTGTGCCATTGGAAAGAAGACTTACAGAAGTACAATACCACTTTCCAACAGGTCCAGATTCTATGTTGATTAATATACATATTCTTTTGAAATCAGTTATGAATTTTTGGTTTTCTATTTTTTACAGCTTTGCGTATCCTGACTAAAAAAATCATATCTCTATGCAGAAATGCCCACAGCACGATCTGCTTGTGCCGTTGGAAAGAGGACTCATGGAACTAGAATATTAAAAGGAAAACAGGTCCAGATTGTTTGTTGATTTATACAGATATGCTTTTGAGTTTTGAAATCAGTTATGAATTTCAGTTTAAATATTCTCTTTCCGCTCTTTGTTTTGGTGAAAATACAACACATCGGTGGTGAAGATGCATGATGTAAGTTGCTTTTTTTTTTTGGTTCGGACAAGTTAGTCTCTAGAATACAATATTCATTTATGCGCAGATCGATTCAGAATACGTGCGAGGAATTTTCCGTAATTCTATTGATTTGAAGTCGCGAACCACCGATGTTTGTCTGTTTTTATGCGCAGAATTCATGGCATTTCAAATTATTGAAGGTCGCTACTGATAAACAGTCTAAGGTACTGACTGTTGATTGTATATAAAATTGTGTGACAAAGAAGACATAAAAGAGGCGTAGTTAAGAAGATGAATGGGAAGAAGTGGAAGATCCCTGATGGGTGCATTTATAAGCTATGAAAAACATGGTTTAGATGACCTTATGGTACATCAGTTACTGTAAAATTTAAGCTCTTGTGCACTAAGTATTTGGTTTGAATGTGATAAGTTTTCTGCCCAACTTAGACTGTTATCAGTAGTGACCTTCAATAATTTGAAATGCCATGAATTCTGTTGTAAAGTGATTTAATTTACATATGTCTGTAAACATGGCCGATTACAACATGACTGATTACAGATAACAGAATCCAAGCAAATCGCTTTGCGCTTCGGCATATCCATTGCCAGTCACCTGCAACCAGAAGTTCCATTTCTGTTTTAGTTCAATCGGCTTAGAAGCATTTTTAATTCAAATAAAACTTTTGCAGCAGCCAAGATTATGGCAAAAAGGGCTTGGAAAAATCATCCCTGGCAGTAGATTCAAGTCCACAACAGGGTATTACCATTTTCCTAAAAAATCGAGCAATAATCGTTAAACACATGCTTAGTTCAACCTCTAATCGATGGTGTAATCAAAAATAATTTGCATCATTTCTTGACTTCCTTGTGGACACAATATTCGACAGACTCTTGAAAGGATTAATAAAACAGTAGTTCAATTCCATCGTTATATTTATGTAGGTCGAACCTGCCATGCTAGTTCCAGCCATTGTCAATCTATCAACAAAAATGAGATAGCTTCATCCTCACATCAATTCAAGGCTACCAATCAAACACCAAAGCTTCACGAGGCAGCAATCTATATAGCTTGATGGAGAAATATATCAACCAAGAATGGAAAAGAGTTTCTCGACCACATATAGAACAAATGTAACAGTGAAATGGGTCAAAAAAATAACAAACACGGGCAAGTAGCCTCTCCACTGACAAAAATTATCTATGGAGTAGTAGAAACTAATGGATTGTCTTATGTAAATAAAAACGAAAAGGCAATACCATAAAATACCATGAAAAGCTTCAAATTACTTGTCCATAACTATTGAAATTTCAAAACAAACTAAACCGGAAAAGTTCAGTAGCAGGAAAAACATGAAATGATACAAATATTTTGTTCATAACTAATAAAACTACTAAACTAACTTATAAGACCGTTTTTGATTTCTCCAACTGTTACATATGCAAACACCTTACGCTGTTTTCTTCTTCTTAAACACTCTCTTGATCTTATTTCCAGACAACTGTACATTCGGATCTTCTTCAACCATTGTTGCAGCATTAACTATACCTATCTTGGCAGGTGCGTTTGCAATATCGATCAACTCGTTATCTTCAGTAGAGCCCTACAAATTTAAAAATAAAATAAAAAATGAAAATCAGTAGTAAACCTTTACTTCCTATTGCTTTGTTCAAAGCAAACCTATTAGAAGAAGGTTCATTTGATGCTGCTTTTGATGGATGTGACAGTGTATTCCATACACCATCTCCTCTTTGCTACTCTGTTACAAACCCACAGGTGCATTCCATTCTCATAAAATTTGATTTTGTAAATGCTTACCCTTCATTGTACGTAATGCTGAGAAAAGCCCAAAATATAATGGTTAGAAGTATGGAGATCTGTTGTGATTCTCAGATCAATATGAAGATTATTTGGGAGGAAAAACAACTCTATTTCACAAGAATAGAATTACAGAGAATTTACACCAAGAATTTCTCTCTACAAAAAAACCTCACCAAACTCTCTTTTTGTTCTCACAATCTCTTCCTGGATTGTATTTCAATCTCTCTGGATTGATATTTTTGTGTAAAACATAAGGCTCTATTTATAGCCTTAAAGAAGGTGGTTGATGGTTGAATTCTTCATTCAACAATGGAGGCTTCAACAATGGTGGCTTCTAGAATGGGTTGGTGGCTTCAACAATGGTGGGCTTCTAGAATTGGTAGTTGGCAGCAGCTGAACTTATCAATTCTCCCCCTTCAGCTGCATTCCAACGCAGCTACTATTTGAAAGTTATTCCAACTATGTCTCTGCACAGCTCTAACTTTTCTTGAGTGACCACCTTTGTTAACATGTCTGCTGGATTCTCCTTCGTATGGATCTTCACTAGTTTCAACAGTTGTTGATTCATCACCTCGCGTATCCAGTGATAGCGAATGTCGATGTGCTTTGTCCGAGAATGATACATTGAGTTTTTGCTTAAATCAATTGCACTTTGACTATCACAATGTATCTTATACTCTGTTTGATTTATCCCTAGTTCTTGGAGAAACCGCTTTAGCCACAACATTTCTTTTCCAGCTTCCGCTACAGCAATATACTCTGCTTCAGTTGTGGATAGTGCAACACACTTCTGCAATCTTGACTGCCATGACACAGCTCCCCCTGCAAAAGTATAAACATATCCTGAGGTTGATTTTCTTCCATCAGGATCTCCGGCCATATCTGAATCTGTATAGCCTTCCAAGACTGGATCAGCTCCCCCAAAGCACAGACTTGATTTTGAAGTACCTTTAAGATACCTGAAAATCCACTTAACTGCCTCCCAATGTTTCTTTCCAGGGTTAGAAAGAAAACGACTTACCACACCTACCGCATGTGCGATATCTGGCCTCGTGCAAACCATGGCATACATCAGGCTTCCAACTGCTGAAGAATATGGAATTGTAGACATCTCCTCAATCTCTTTCTTGGATGAGGGGCACAAACTCTTGCTCAACTTGAAGTGATTTGCCAAAGGGACACCTACCGGTTTGGCATTACTCATATTGAACCGTTTGATCACCCGTTCAATGTAATTTTCTTGAGATAGCCATAACTTCTTGTTTCTCCTATCTCGAGTTATCTGCAATCCCAAAATATGTTGAGCTGGACCTAAGTCTTTCATTTCAAAGAACTTAGAGAGTTCTTTCTTCAACTGTCTAATTTTTGTTNAATTTCAAAACAAACTAAACCGGAAAAGTTCAGTAGCAGGAAAAACATGAAATGATACAAATATTTTGTTCATAACTAATAAAACTACTAAACTAACTTATAAGACCGTTTTTGATTTCTCCAACTGTTACATATGCAAACACCTTACGCTGTTTTCTTCTTCTTAAACACTCTCTTGATCTTATTTCCAGACAACTGTACATTCGGATCTTCTTCAACCATTGTTGCAGCATTAACTATACCTATCTTGGCAGGTGCGTTTGCAATATCGATCAACTCGTTATCTTCAGTAGAGCCCTACAAATTTAAAAATAAAATAAAAAATGAAAATCAGTAGTAAACCTTTACTTCCTATTGCTTTGTTCAAAGCAAACCTATTAGAAGAAGGTTCATTTGATGCTGCTTTTGATGGATGTGACAGTGTATTCCATACACCATCTCCTCTTTGCTACTCTGTTACAAACCCACAGGTGCATTCCATTCTCATAAAATTTGATTTTGTAAATGCTTACCCTTCATTGTACGTAATGCTGAGAAAAGCCCAAAATATAATGGTTAGAAGTATGGAGATCTGTTGTGATTCTCAGATCAATATGAAGATTATTTGGGAGGAAAAACAACTCTATTTCACAAGAATAGAATTACAGAGAATTTACACCAAGAATTTCTCTCTACAAAAAAACCTCACCAAACTCTCTTTTTGTTCTCACAATCTCTTCCTGGATTGTATTTCAATCTCTCTGGATTGATATTTTTGTGTAAAACATAAGGCTCTATTTATAGCCTTAAAGAAGGTGGTTAATGGTTGAATTCTTCATTCAACAATGGAGGCTTCAACAATGGT